GATTCAATCCTGAAATATGGGCATGAAAATTGACAAATGATATAGGATTATGTTCACATAAACTTGCCAGTTGGTTCATATGTTTGCATCGAATTTATGTTGCGTAAATATATATCCGATTTCTTCTCCTAGGATATGTAATCGAGTACCTAGGTTATCTATTCGGGGAATGCAGTTGTATTGTTTTCCTTTCGGAGTCTATTAGTTCGTACGTTGAATAACCTTTTGCTTTTACTACCTTGGTATCTGTAGATACATTTCTGTGATTGGAGAACGGAGCAGTTTGCATGCTTGGGGGAAAGTCATCTGGAGGATATAACTCGGGTAATTCGATGCCTTTGGTTTTTTGACTAAGTAGAAGTATTTAGCAACTAAAACACTATATCTTCCTTATTCAACCTGAAGAAACCTGAAAACGGATAAAGGTAAATAAAAATGAAAATACAAGAGAACTCAGCAGCTGTAGTCAGTTTAATTTGAATGCTGACCCTGTATTGAAAGCTTTGCTAATTCCAATGTTTGGGAAGATCTATTTGCTATTCTATTGTGCCATTTATGAACTGCGATATCTATTTGCTGTTCGATTGTGCGATTTATGATTTGCTTAAATTAATTTTTTTATTCTTTTTAAACAGAGATCACTACTTTCAGTGACCGGTATGCAGAGTTTGAAAAGTTGAACCATGGATGTTTTGGTGGGGAAGGTCACACTCTTCTCGCAGCGGGGTGCTAGTCGAAGGTATTATCCTTTCTCATGTTTATTTGATTATAATAATATTCACAGCAAAATAAAAGTATGTTTTAACTTTTTTAACCTAGATGTGATTTTACGCTCTGGTGTTGTATTCGTAGATTCAATCTTGAAATATGGGCATGAAAATTGACAAGTGATATAGGATGTCCACAGAAACTTGCCAGTTGGTTCATATGTTTGAATCGAATTTATGTTGCGTAAATATATATCCGATTTCTTCTCGTAGGATATGTAATCAAGTACCTAGGTTATCTATTCAGGGAATGCAGTTATATTGTTTTCCTTTCGGAGTTATTAGTTCGTATGTTGAATAATATTTTGCTTTTACTACTTGGATATCTGTAGATACATTTCTGTGATTTGAGGAGAGCGGAGCAGTTTGCATGCTTGGAGGATATAACTCAGGTAATTGGATGCCTTTCATTTTTTTGACTGGTTAGGCAGCCTTAGTCAGTTTAATTTGAATGCTGACCCCTGTATTGATAGCTTTGCTAATTCCAATGCTTGGGAAAATCAGCATGTTATGAATTCAATTTGTATGATTTGTTGTTCTCGTATTTTCTTTTACATGAATGAAATGAAAGGTGCAAGAAAGACAAAGAAAGGTTGGCATGATTTCACATATTAGACATCTCGTAATATTTTAGTACATTCTTGTAGGCCTTGAAATGGAATTGCATGTCAAATATTGGGGTTGTTAATTGAAATATTTGACTTACGAGGGGCAGTAAACGTAGGTTCATTTAGTTCGCGGCCGGTCATCAAAGCAAGCTTGTTTCTGCTTCCGTTGATGGATTAATGTGGAGACATAAATGATGATGATGATCATTTAATTTCGGTAGGTGGGATCTATTTTCTACGGTTTTTTTTTTGTTTTTTTTTTCTTTTTTTTTGATTCCATTATCCATATACGGGTTTCTGAAGAGGTGTGTGTCGTTGCACAATTTTATATTAATTTTTGCTCATATAACTGCAATTTTATGTTTCCTCTTAACAATGTTCGTAGTTGGTGGTAGGTTCATTCATTAATTAACTATAGATGAAATGGACACTCTCATATTTTACTACTAGTGAATCTGCATTCATATTTTACATTTGTACTAATAGTAGTAGTTATAGTTTTAGTTTGCTTTTTTATTGCAAATAGTATACGGGTTTCCACCTAGGTAGCTCAAACTCATTGTTAGATTTCTTAGTTTATTTTTTTCTTTTGACTATCTCATTTGTTTGTATATTACTCACACGCAACATGATTAGGTTTTCAACGTCGATTGGAAAAGTCGGATTCTAGGGTGCAATAAATCACAAGTTGTGGTGCATAACACATATCGAAACCCTGAGGTATGTCTCGTCTGAATTTTGCCTATTTGCATCGTATGTGAATTTGAATCATATCCATTTGCCTATTTACTCCGTATATTGTCAGTTTCCTACAGTTGTCGTATCTTTGCTCTTATCAATCAAAGGCTGGTGCACTACATCATTAACCAAACTAATGAGAAAGGTATGCTTTCTAAGTGGTGTTCCATTATTTTGAGAATGTACTAGATCCTCTTGACAAAATGTGTGGGAACCTTGGTTATTTTTATTTATAAATTTAATTAAATGGGGCCGTCGATTCCCCAAATTTTATTACCTGCGCTTTTAAGCCAAGGATTCCATCATTTTGTTCGAGTTGTAACGAGCCTCTAGTACATTATCTTTTTAATGGCACCCCATCTTCTACTTAGTATGTGCTTCCTTTTTTTTTTTTTGTCAAATATGCCAATTTTAAACTAAGTTTAAAAAAAAAAAAAATCAAAGTTTAACATGATTGGTTAATTTAAATACTTGTATGCTTGTGTGATTTATGTGGTGTTTGATCATGAGCCTATAATCCTTATGTTGTTGGTCTATCTTTTTTTTTTCTTTTTTTTTTTCGATTTATTGGTAATGTAAACTTTCCCATATGTGAAGATGGGAATTTTGTAATAGGTAGGCTATGTAAAATATACCACTAGATCCAACCTTTGGCTCAAGGTTGTATCACATAAGGTAGGGCTCATGATCACTCACAATTTTTTTGGTTTTCTTTGTATTTAATTTTTCCATGCTTAAGTAAAATTTCAAAGCCGTAAACTCAATTAAAATAAATTTTAAAAAATTGTGAACCGTACAAATTGTTTAAAATGTTGTTTATGTTGGCCTGCACAACAATTCAAACCCGTAAAACAAACTAGTAATCATTTTCAACTATAAAAAGTCTTTGTACACTTCTGCACCTTCATACAAAAAAAACTCATTTCATCGTAATAATACCTTAAGCGTCAAAAAGCATTATAACATGTTTAAGTCTATGACAAACAATGTGATCGTAATTATGAAAACTCTATTGTTTCAGCTGAACAAGGTCTGTAGAGAAGAATGAAGCAAAAGTTACCATTCACAGTATAAAATGTGTATTCAAAATATATAATTTAATAGAAAATTAACTATCTTTTGAGTAGCTGGAAGTTGTTAAAATTCGAAAGTGTTTTATTGTAGCATATTTGAACACTGTTTTATGATATGAATTCAGATACAGATCAGCTGAAATCAATTGACTATTGTTTTAATAATCAAAATTACAAAAAATAGTATAATGTAGTAGACGCTAACCAATTTGCAAAACAATTTTGCAAAAAAATATAAATATCCCGCTAACCGTTTGCAAAACATTTGAACAATAGTAATAATCCAATTAAAAAATGAAGGACAAATAAGGAAAAGTAAATAATCGGACAGGATTTATTGAATAAGTCTAAGGTTTTATCCATCAACTGGGCCCCGATTTATTGTTGGTCCTTTGGGCCCCGACTTTAAAATAATGGACCTCAAATTTTCCGGAGAATTCGGCAATGGGCCACTATTTTTTGTTTTTTATTGTGTTTCAGTACTGCAGGGCCGCTGTTGTGGGTCCATATTTTTTGTGAATTGGGTCCTGATTTCCATTTATGGGCCAGATGTTATATAAATGTGTTGGCCTAAAATTGTTTTCTAATGTGTTGGGCCGCAGGTTTTGTGCGTGAACTGGCTTCCGCAGGTCGTTTCATGTTCTGGCCGTATCAGTTGCAGGTCCTCAGATTTTTATTGTTGGTTTTGGCAATTAGTTTTTAGTTTTCCTTAATGGACCGGGCCTTAAAGTTATAAGTTGTGGAATGAACATATGCTGCAAATAATTGTTCGCTATTATTCTATCAAAGTTAAACTTCGAAAATTACTGACTTCAAACAAATCATATTTGACACCAACAAATTACTGACTAATGTAACAATTGGCTATATAGGAAAATATTAATTTAACTTGTATTTGCAGTTTCATGTTTTAAAAAGTAATTTCTTTGATAAAAGTAAATTAATATATTTTCCTTCTATTAACAATTTTAGAAAATTAATTAGTTTTTTCATAATTTATACATAATAAGAATCATAATATATATAATATAATAGTGATAGAGTAATAGTAGTTTTAGTTTCATACTTGGTTCGTGCGGGCCTATTTCTTCAGCAACAAATTTTTAAAATTTATTCTAATTGAATTTACGGCATGGAAACATTAAATACAAAGAAAACCAAAAAAAATGTGAATGATCACGAGCCCTACCTTATGTGATCCAGCCTTGAGCCGAAGGTTGGATCTAGTGGTATATTTTACATATTTTGCATAGCCTACCTATTACAAAATTCCCATCTTCACATATGGGAAAGTTTACATTACCAATAAATCGGAAAAAAAGAAAAAAAAAAGAAAAAAAAAATATATACCAACAACATAAGGATTATAGGCTCATGATCAAACACCACATAAATCACATAAGCATACAAGAATTTAAATTAACCAAACATGTTAAACTTTGATTTTTTTTTTAACTTAGTTTAAAATTGGCATATTTGACAAAAAAAAAAAAGGAAGCACATAATAAGTAGAGGATGGGGTGCCATTAAAAAGATAATGTACTAGAGGCTCGTTACAACTCGAACAAAATGATGGAATCCTTGGCTTAAAAGCGCAACTAAATAAGATTTGGGGAGTCGACGGCCCCATTTAATTAAAATTTATATATAAAAATAACCAAGGTTCCCACACATTTTGTCAAGAGGATCTAGTACATTCTCAAGATAATGGAACACCAATTAGATAGCATACCTTTTTCATTAGTTTGGTTAATGATGTAGTGCACCATAGTTTGATTGAGAAGAGCAAAGATACCACAACTGTAGGAAACTGACAATATACAGACTAATTAGGCAAACGGATATGATGATTCAAATTCACATATGATGCAAATAGGCAAAATTCAGACGAGACATACCTCAGGGTTTCGATATGTATTATGCACCACAACTTGTGATTTATTGCACCCTAGAATCCGACTTTTCCAATCGTCGTTGAAAACCTAGTCATGTTGCGTTTGAGTAATATACAAACAAATGAGATATAGTCAAAAGAAAAATTAAACAAAGAAATCTAACAATTGAGTTTGAGCTACCTAGGAGGAAACTTGTATACTGTTTGCAATAAAAGGAAACTAAAACTATAACTACTCCAATTAGAACAAATGTAAAATATGAAATGCAGATTCACTAATAGTAAAATTCCCTTGGCTTGAGTGTCCATTTCATCTATTGTTAATTAATGAATGAAACTACCACCAACTATTAACATAGTTAAAAGGAAACGTAAAATGGCAGTTATATGAGCAAAAACTACTATAAAATTGTGCAACGACACACACCTCTTCAGAAACCCGTATATGGATTATCGAATAAAAATAAAATAAAATAAAATCGTAGAAAACTGATCCCACATACCGAAATTAAATGATCATCATCATCATCATCATCATCATCATCATCATCATCATCATCATCATCATCATCATCATCATCATCATCATTTATGTCTTTACATTAATCTATCAACGGAAACAGAAACAAGCTTGCTTTGATGACCGGCCGCGAACAAAATGAACCAGCGTTTACTGCCCCTCGTAAGTCAAATAGTTTAATTAACAACCCCAATATTTGACATGCAATTCCATTTTAAGCCCTACAAGAATGTACTAAAGTAATACAAGATGTTTAATAGGTCAAATCATGCCAACCATTCTTTGTCTTTCTTACACCTTTCATTTCATTCATGTAAAGAAAATACGAGGACATGAATCATATAAATTGATTTCATAACATGGAATAACTGCCTAACAAATTACAATGTGTCATAATTTATATCATCGTTAAACAAAGATATTACAACACATACCTGATCGTGAATCAGCACATTGTACGATTCAGATATTGATTTAGTCACATCAGAAACTAACGGATAGTTCAAATCACCCAGTTCACAAGATATCCATTCCGTTTGGATCCATGCAAGGTGGGAATACTGCACAAGTTTGACAAGAGTATATTATATCACAAAGATGATTTTATAATTTTATAAGTGAAAAAACAAGAAAGGGAGTCGATAAGAATTACCACACTATCTACAGATACACCCAAGACTTCTGTGTTCAACTTTTCAAACTCTGCATACCGGTCACTGAAAGCAGTGATCTCTGTTTTAAAAAAAAATTAATTTAAGCAAATCATAAATGGCACAATCTGACAGCAAATAGATAGCCCAGTTCATAAATGGCACAATCGAATAGAAAATAGATCTTCCCAAACATTGGAATTAGCAAAGCTTTCAACACAGCTGCTGAGTTTGTCCTTCCTAACCAGTCTCTTCTATTTTTATTTTTATTTTCCTTTATCCGTTTTCAGGTTTGTTCAGGTTGAATAAGGAAGATATTAGTGTTTTACTTGCTAAATACTTATACTTAGTCAAAAAACCAAAGGCATCGAATTACCCGAGTTATATCCTCCAGGTGACTTTCATCCAAGCATGCAAACTGCTCCATTTTCCAATCACATAAATGTATCTACAGATACCCAAGTAGTAAAAGCAAAAGGTTATTCAACGTACAAACTAAGAGACTCCGAAAGGAAAACAATATAACTGCATTCCCTGAATAGATAACCTAGGTACTCGATTACACATCCTACGAGAAGAAATCGGGTATATATTTACGCAACATAAATTCGATACAAACATATGAACCAACTGGCAAGTTTATGTTAACATAATCCTATATCATACGTCAATTTTCATGCCCACATTTCAGGATTGAATCTACAAATACAACACCAGAGCGTAAAATCAAATCTAGGGTTAACAAGCAAGAATAGGAAATTAATTTTTGTTGTAAATATTCTGATAATCAATAAGCATGACTGCATGAGAAAGGATAATACCTTCTACTTGCAGCCCGCTGCGAGAAGATTGTGACCTTCCACACCCATGGTTCACCGGAACGCCGATATAGCGGCCGGAACGGTGTAATAACTGAATAAACGGATTTTTAAATCCGTAAATAAAACGGTGTCGTTCAACTTGAGAAAGCGTGAACGCGCTTTTATTATTTAACGCTTTTATTATTATTAAAGAATAAGACGAAACGCTGTCGTTTTGAAGAAGGGAAGAGGCAGACGTGGGCACACCTCAGCTGCATGGGTATGCTCCACCCTAACTCCAGCTCCTCTATCACGTGATGGCAGTATAAGAGGACAAAGGAGCAGCTGACAATGGCAGGCAATTACTGGTAATCTTTAGGTTAAACTTAGTGTAGCTAATATTCTCATTTCTCACCAACCCTAGAGCATTATCCGCCGCCACCACTCTCTCACTGAACTCTATTATTACAGGTTATTTCTCATCAACGGAGTTGATTAGTGAAGATAAAGGAAGGGTTCGTGACATTTGGTATCCAGAGCCACCGTTTCTGGCCATCACACCCTTAAATGATGACTAGAAGCCATGTGAGAACAGGATCAAGCGATAACACCAGATCTGATGCGGAGGTTTACCTGGATGAACAGCTAGCTTTCAACAAGAAAATCCAAGGAGACATGAGTGAGATACAAGCCGGTTTACAAGCTGAAATAGCAAAAGGGAGAGCTGAAACAAATCAAAGGATTGAAGACCTGAGTAAACTGGTAGGAGAGCTTGTGAGAGCTGTCAATGGAGACCGTGGAAAAGCCCCTTACACTCAAGGTAATTCCTCTGAAAACCCCTTACGGTTTTCTGAAAATATACACAATACACAACCCCAGATGCGTGTTGAAGTAGGGAGTCTGAACAGCCCGGGTAGAGGGGGAGAAAATAGGGCTGCCAAGGTAGAATTTCCCAAGTTTGATGGGGAATTTCCTAGGACTTGGTTGAGAAGGTGCCATAGGTACTTTACTCTAAACCCTATGAGTGAACAAGACAAAGTGCAGTTTGCATCTATGCATCTAGAAGGGAAAGTAGAAGACTGGTATACTGATTACATTGAGCAGCTAGAAGGGCTGGGGTGGGAGAATTTCACAAATATGGTGTTGGATAGGTTCTTAGAGGAAGAGGGAGTCAGCTTAACTGCTGAATTTAACAGGCTGCGCCAAGAAACCACAGTGGAAGAATACAGATTGAAGTTTGAGCATCTAAAAGCCTTTGTGAGTAAAAAGCACAGAACATTCAATGAAACCTATTATCTGGAGTGTTTTGTTGAAGGACTCAAAGATAGCATTAAGAATGTGGTCAAAATGATGAGGCCTATGACTTTATCTCAAGCAATACAACAAGCCAAATTGCAAGAAGGAAATGCTGACCACATCTCTGAAGAGATCAAACACACTGTGAAGTCTGCTACTACACAGTTGAAACTCTACAAACCAACTGCCCAGATCACCAGAGCTCAACAAGCTGAGAGAGGAGGGATGAATCATAAGAAGCTGACTAGACCAGAGTTAGAAGAAAGAAGAAAAAGGGGACTATGTTACAATTGTGATGAGAGATACATTCCTGGACATAGGTGTAAGAAGCTATTCCATATTGAGTGTATACCATCATCAGATGATGAAGCTACTGCAGAAGAGGTAGAGGAATTGACAGAGGGAGTAGCAGAGGAGTGCATGCAAATTTCCTTCAATGCTATCACTGGCCAAATCACTCAGACCACACTCAAGGTGCTAGGAAAACACAAGGGTCAACCTATAACCATCCTACTTGACACTGGAGCTTCACATAGTTTTCTAGATCCTCAAACTGCAATCAGATTGAAGTGTGATAGGGTGTGCAATAAAAGATCTAAAGTGAAAGTAGCTGGGAGGCTCCAAGTGGAGTGTGATTCATTCTGCCCAAACTTCCAGTGGGAAATGGGGGATTGCAAGTTTGAGATCAGTGTGACTCTTTTGGAACTAGGAGGGTGTGATCTGGTACTTGGGGTGGATTTTATGAAGAGATTTGCACCACTTTCTTTTGATCATAATGTACAATCAATTGCATTCAATTATGAGGGAAGAGAAGTAGTACTCCAAGGGGTAAATGGGGAACCTGAATTTCACATGATTGGTGAGGAAGAATTGCAAAGCATGCTGCACAATAGAGAGATCAACATGGGGTGCTTAGTCATGATGCAGAGTCCAGAGTGTACAAGGGAAGGGACAGAAATTCCAAATGAAATCAAAGAAGTGATCAGTGAATTTGCTGAAGTATTTCAAGAACCTACTGAGCTGCCACCAGTAAGGAGAGCTGAACACTCAATTCCCCTTAAAGAGAATGCTCAGCCATTCAAATCCCAACCCTATAGATATCCTTTCATGCAGAGAAAAGAGGTGGAAGCCATGGTGCAAGAAATGCTACAAACTGGGATCATACAGTCTAGCAATAGCCCATTTGCATCACCAGTACTGTTGGTCAAAAAGAAAGATGGATCATGGAGATTCTGTGTAGACTACAGAAAGTTAAACTCCATGACCATAAAGGATGGATATCCCATTCCTTTAATTGATGATTTATTAGATGAATTGGGGGGAGCTAGGTTGTTCTCAAAAAATTGACCTCAGGGCTGGCTACCACCAAATTAGAATGAGCAAAAGAGATGTGGAGAAAACTGCCTTTGTAACTTCTGCTGGGCATTATGAATTCTTGGTGATGCCATTTGGACTCACAAATGCACCTGCTACATTTCAAGCCCTGATGAATGATGTCTTCAGGGATCACCTAAGGGAATTTGTGTTGGTATTTTTTGATGACATACTCATCTACAGCCCTAATATTGATTCTCACCAACAACATGTGAGAAGGGTGCTGGAGCTTCTCAAGAAGCACCAACTGTATGCTAAAATGAGTAAGTGCAGTTTTGGTCAAAAACAAGTGGAATATTTGGGGCACATCATCACTGAAGATGGGGTAGGAGTAGACCCTAGCAAGATAGAAAGTGTGAAGAGCTGGCCAACTCCCACAACAGTGAAAGCTCTTAGAGGGTTTCTGGGCTTGACTGGGTATTACAGAAAGTTTGTGAGAGGCTATGGAGAGATAGCTAAACCACTGACTCAACAACTGAAGAAAGGGCAATTCCAATGGAACTTAGAGGCCCAAGAAGCTTTTGAAAAACTGAAAGCAGCCATGACTACCACACCAGTGCTGCAACTGCCAGATTTCAAGGAAAAGTTTGTGGTTGAGACTGATGCCTCCTATCATGGAATTGGTGCAGTATTAATGCAGAAAGGCCATCCCTTAGCTTATTTAAGCAAAGCACTGGGGACAAAGAACTTAGGTCTATCTATATATGAGAAGGAATTCTTGGCTATACTTCTGGCAGTCCAGAAGTGGAGAGCTTACCTGATTTGTGGCACTTTTGTGATAAGAACTGACCAGAAGAGCTTGAGGTATCTATTGGAGCAGAAGCTTTCCACTCCACTACAGCACAAATACTTAGCCAAACTGCTAGGTTTCAACTATACCATAGAGTATAAGAGAGGAACTGAGAACAGTGCAGCTGATGCACTATCAAGGAGAGGAACTGAGCAGACCTTGAACCAAATGACAATAATCCAACCTATGTGGATTCAAGAGGTCATACAAAGTTATGACAATGATGAAGAATCACAAGCAATCATTGCTAATTGCTCCCTGAGACCATTAGATGTCTCATTTTACCAATACAATGAAGGAATCATAAGGTTCAAGGGCAGAATTTTTGTGGGAAGTCAACAAGAGGTGAGGAAGAATCTCATTGAGCAGATGCATGGGACAAGCATGGGGGGGCATTCTGGCATACAAAACACTTACCAAAGGATTCAAGGGGTGTTTCTGTGGCCTGGACTCAAGAGCCAAGTGAAAGAATGGGTCAAAAATTGCCATATTTGCCAACTGAGCAAGCATGAAAATGTTAAGACACCAGGACTCCTCCAACCACTACCTATACCAGAGGGAGCATGGACTTGCATTACCATGGATTTTATTGTAAAACTGCCCAAATCACATGGGAAAGAAAGCATATGGGTAGTAGTTGATAGGTTCACCAAATATGGGCACTTCATAGCTCTCTCTCAACCTACCACAGCTTCTACTCTAGCTCAGACATTCATTGAAGAGATCTATAAACTGCATGGGTTGCCAAATTATATCATTTCTGATAGAGACCCCATATTCACCAGTCACTTTTGGAGGGAGTTGATGCAGTCTTTAGGGGTGCAGCAACAGTTAAGCACTGCTTTCCATCCTCAGACTGATGGACAGACAGAAAGAGTGAACCAATGCCTAGAATCCTACCTAAGATGCATGTGTGGACAAATGCCAAAGAAATGGAGCTCATGGATCCCACTAGCTGAGTGGTGGTATAACACCACTTTTCACTCCACTATACAGATGACCCCTTTTGAGGCCTTGTATGGATATCAACCACCGCAGTTAGGATATGGACCACACTTACTCAAGAAGACAGAAGGAGTCAAGGTATGGATAGAAGAGCACCAAAGGGTTACTCAACAGTTGAAACAGTTACTGGGAGAAGCACAAGCCAGGATGAAATTTTATGCTGATCAAAACAGAAGTGAAAGACATTTTGAGGAAGGAGAGCTTGTTTACTTGAAGCTTAAACCCTATAAGCAATTAAGTCTGAGGAAGAGTCATCTTTGGAAGCTGACCCCGAAGTATTGTGGACCCTTTGCTATCATCAAGAAGATAGGACCAGTTGCCTATGAGCTTGATCTTCCTATTGATAGCAAGGTGCACCCGGTGTTCCATGTTTCTCAGCTGAAGAAACACATAGGCACTCAGACTCAAGTACCACCTTCAATACCACCTCTTGATGAAAACAATCAGTTCTTGCTAGTACCAGAAAGGGTTTTAGAGAGGAGAATGGTCAAAAAAAAACAATGCTGCACTAGTGCAGTGGCTAGTGAAGTGGATCCACTTGCCAGAGGAGGAAGCTACGTGGGAGAATGCTGATGAGATGGGGAAGAAATTTCCTACATTTCAGCCATGAGACATGGCTGGAAAAGAGGGAGGGGTAGTGTAATAACTGAATAAACGGATTTTTAAATCCGTAAATAAAACGGTGTCGTTCAACTTGAGAAAGCGTGAACGCGCTTTTATTATTTAACGCTTTTATTATTATTAAAGAATAAGACGAAACGCTGTCGTTTTGAAGAAGGGAAGAGGCAGACGTGGGCACACCTCAGCTGCATGGGTATGCTCCACCCTAACTCCAGCTCCTCTATCACGTGATGGCAGTATAAGAGGACAAAGGAGCAGCTGACAATGGCAGGCAATTACTGGTAATCTTTAGGTTAAACTTAGTGTAGCTAATATTCTCATTTCTCACCAACCCTAGAGCATTATCCGCCGCCACCACTCTCTCACTGAACTCTATTATTACAGGTTATTTCTCATCAACGGAGTTGATTAGTGAAGATAAAGGAAGGGTTCGTGACAAACGGGGTTAGTGGAATCGAATTGACGGACTTTTTGTGAATTTTGACGGAGTTGAGAAGCACGAACGGGAACGGCGTCGTAGATGGAGAGCGAACCCTAGGCGTCGGCGGCGATCAGGTTGCGGGGGAAGGAGGAGAGTACAAGGCGAGGGAGTTGATTGAGGAAGTATGGTAGAGGGAGCCGATCTCGGCGGATGAAGAGATGTCGTGCATTTTCATGGTGTCGCCGTCTCCGCCGGTGCCGGCGCCGGCGCCGGCGACGGTTATGATTGGAGAGAGGTGGTACCGAAAGGAGAAGAGTGGGGTTAGGGTTAGGGAATCGGGGTGTAACTGTATTCTTCGTCGCGGTGGAAATGGAATAGGGATTGTGACGCCGATAATTTTATATTAGTTCTGACTGCACTTAAGTTTTCAAATGTTTCATCTTAGTCCTTAAATTTATGACTTCTATTAAAATAAAGACATATATTATGACATATATGTCTTAATAAAGACATATATTAAGAACGTACACTTTTAACTAGGGGTGGTTTCGGTACGGTTACCGAACATTTTGTTCAATACCGTGTACCTACCGTATCTTCCGGTATTGAAAAATTCTATACCGTTACCGTACCAACAATTGCGGTATACCGTTATTCGGTATACCGTTAGTTTCGGTACGGTATGATCGGTACGTGGTAATCTACCGTACATCATTTTGTTGATGAACTCGAATACAATAATTAAGATGAATACTAATTAAATGCATAAATACAACAAATTAAGCAAATGAATATGGTAATCAAGCAATTTACATGAATATACATTATACGACCGTAATAGCGTATGTTGCTTTAACTAATGATCACTAAGATATCTATAGAAAAATTGTAGAAACTAATGAGCAAAACATTTTCATGGTTTAAGTAAGATAAAAAAAACTTATGTTGTAATAATGCAAATGAAACAAAAGGGTGGGAACTTAGGGGGGGAAAGAAAGGGAGAAGAATATTATGGCAAAAAATATTCCACCAATAAGAGATTAGTTGGACTTTGAAACTAAAGAAGTACGTGAAATAAACAACTTTAACGAGAACTAAATTAAATATTAAGTTTGCATAAATATATGAAAATAATAAAAAAAAATAGAATTATGTATATATAATATATATGTGATGTATCATATCTTTATTCTTGTTTTTTTTTATAATATTTGTTGATTATATTTTTTATATTTACAATATAAAGGGTAAAATATATTAACTAATTTTTAAAATACAAAGTTGCGGTACGGTACGGAATTACCATGGTATTGAAGATACAATACCGCTACCGTACCGTAAGATAATGGTACGGTACCGATACCGTACCAAATGTAGTGGTAACCGATAGTTCGGTATTTTTTCGGTAATTGTTGGTAGGTATACCGTGGTAATCGGTATTTGGTAATTTTTGCCCAGCCCTACTTTTAACACTCAAATATATATAGTAGATGTTTATTGATAATTAGTCAATAAATATATCATCGAAAAATTAAATAACTAATTTTTGCATAGTCGAAGAAGTCACAAAAAATCGTATACTATAGTACACACATTTTGCAGAAAATCGTTGAAATTTGAAAGTCTATTTTTTTTATTTTTTCAACACTCAATAATATAATTTAGTACATGTTTAATGATAGGAAGTAAGGAAATAGATGATCTAAAGTTCATATTACTGTTTTGAATAGTCAATCGAAATCACCAAAAATCGTATATTACAACCGCACACGCTTTTTGGAGAAAAAAAATGTTGCAGTATGAAACTTTTTTAAATGTTTTTTAAAACCACAACATATGGAATATAATATTTTATTGATAAGTAGTCATTAAATATATCATCGAAAAATTAATTAACTAATTTTTGAATAGTCGAAGAAATCACAAAAAAATGTATACTATAGTACACACTTTTTGCTGAAAATCATTAAAATTTGAAAGTTTTTTTTTATTATTTTTTAACCCGCAAATATATAATGCAATAGATGTGTAATGATAGGAAGTCAAGAAATAGATCAGCTGAAATCATTTCCACTATTTCCACTCTACAAACTCCAATCACTACCATGAAAATATCAACATACAGAAAACAATAATTTAAACATTATTATTATTCTGTCGCACTGCCACACATAATGACAACTGCAATAGTAATACATATAAATTAAACAACTAATATAAACATCAACCCGAAAAAAAAAAAAAAAAAAGAAAAAGAAAGAGCACATTACTCGCACGCAATTTTCGTGTCGAAACTGCTAAGACAAATAGCAAAAGCCTGAAAAGCCGAAAGAGGAAACCGATAATCCATCGTAAAAACATCTTTCCCGACTTTGCCAAACTGAAGAATAACTTTATCGTGCTCTGGTCCAGGTGCACCGTTCTCCGAAGAAGCAACTAACTGGAAATTCTTGACAGAAGCAGCCGTAACTCTCCCATGGAAATTCAAGCACCAGCATTGGAGCTGTTCGTGCCACCTCGGAGATTTATTTCTCAGAATAAGTGAATCTTCTTGTTGGCTATTTAAATGTATCGCTAATGATTTATCGGATTTTGTACGGAAAAACGGGTTTGTGGGAGAATAGTCGAGGCTTGTTGGAGCGGTGCCGCCAGGTTTAATGGCGGAGGAGGGGATTGCGTTCATGATGCAGTGCATTCTTCTCGGACCTCTGCATGTAAGCAAATAATTCATGCATTATAAAGATTGATTTTTGATTTGTTAAATTATCCTTGTGTTATTAATATTAGCAAAAAAAACCTATAATGCATTTTTTTAGCAAGCTATACCCCTAAAACCTCACCATTTAGGGGGTTATTTGCTAAGAAATGCATTATAAGTTTTTTCTTTTTTTTTTTTTTAAATATTAATAACACGGGGATTTTTTTGCAATGAACTCTATGAAATTCCTTACGCTCTTTCTTTCACATTTCCGAGTTCAGACAATCAACAAAGGAAAGTGATTGCATAAATCTTGAATATTTACTTACCTAGCTCCAAGCACATTCAACTCGTACGAGATGTGGGCCACCGCATAGTTGCCTGTAAGAAGCTTCGGTGAAATTTGTTTAGAGCCAACCATACGAGTGGACCAACTTTTAGCCATTTTGGCTGCAGAATGAGGAGGAACACCATCGTACACAACGAACTTTGTTCCGACAAAATTAGATCTACATGAAATTAGAAAAAAAAAGAAAAAGTTTTAAGCCTCTTGCTAAAACAATTTATCTAATTTCGAGACACATGAAATTAATATTTAGAAATTATTGCATTTAGTACACTGTATTATATCAATTGCTAAAACTCCCCGTGTTATAAATATAAGCAAAACTGCTTTTATGGTGCACTTTGTTTAGCACACGGCTCCCTAAATGGTGTGTTTTTAGTGGGTAGCGTGATAAAAACTACGGGGGGGTTCTGCTAATATTTATAACACAAGGAGTTTTGTAACAATTCGAGGTAAACACACGGGTGTTAAATGCAAAAAACCCTTAATATTCACCTCAATTTTCCGACATAAGTGTCGGTTCCCTTTGACATGTCATCAGCACGTATAGAGATCATGTAGTCCGTACATGTGGTCCGCCAACATTTACGAGCAGCCAGAAGAAACTTCCCATCATCTGCAAGCGCTGCAAATAAAATAAAGAAAAATAAAATAGATAGTTCGTATATTTATGAAAATAAGAATGGCTTGTGATGCAGTTAAGAAAACAGTATGCACCTTGACTTAAACTCACATAAAGGTAATATGTGTGCGTCGTGCGGTTCCTTTTTATGAAACACTGCATAAGAGATTCTCTCGGGCCAGGCTGCACAAACGGAAAAACGGAAAAGGAAAAAAAAAAATTTAGTAAATTAACACATCGAAAATCTTAACTGCAACAGCACAAACAAAAAAAATGTATATATACAATAAAGCATGACGACAATTCAGAAGTATATTACATAGTTCATCAAAACCGAGGAATCAAACACCGATATCAAAGATGCAACCGATTATCATTTATCACAAGTTACATAATTATTCGGGAAAAAACAAAACCTCAAATCATCCGAAAAGCAAAGCATATCAAAATCCTACCAAAACCGCGATAAACCAACACAAGCCTCGAAATCAAGAACGTACCACGCATACACACACACACAGACACGAAGAACGAGTAAAAAAGCAAAGCTGCACCGATTAATCATCATTCATCAATCATATCCAAAATCCGATAAACAGTTAACCACCACAGAACTTATCACCAAAACACAAAGTCCATACTTATCGAAATAAACGAAACGAAGCAAATTACTCATTCGCATAAAAACCGGAACAATTCGAAAAAAACTAAACCTGTTTAACAGCTGCAGGAAATGTAATCTTCCCAGAAACCTCGGGCCTTTCAACCACCTCCTTCATCACCTCCCTCCAGCTTTTACACACACCAGCACACGCCACTACGTGTTTTCTGGCCGGCCAATTCGATTCCGATTCCTCGACTTTCATTAATATTTCCCTCAGTAATTCCGTAGGCAAACTCTCCCAGCAACTATCACTCCGATTTTCACCAATTTCTTCTCTTCTATTTTTATTTTTACTTTTCCCCAAACAGATTTTCGATTTCTCCACATCCATAAAGCTCTCCTGAACAACTCTTCGCGACCGTGATTTCAATCCGAGCTTAATCATTGCGCCGCCCCCCAAAATTGCAATTCCGCCCCTAAAAAATTTCCCCCAAATTTCAGCGTACAAACAAAATTCACTTCAGTTATACAGAGAAGCAAGCAAAACCCAACACGGAAGCATTTCAAAATCAGAGAATTCGCAGAAAATGGGGTTTTCACAGTAGAAGAAAAAAAAAAAAAAGATTTTTTTAAAATTAATTTAGTAGTTGAAAATGCCCGTATAATAATGGGGATAGTGGATAACAATGAGAATGATGACGTGTGCAACACCAATGGAATCTTTTCATTTTTTTTAAATGTTTTTAAAATAATATTATTTAGCATGTCCACCACGGAATTGAATGTTTCTTCCTATTTTTATGTTCTAAAATATTTAGGTGTCCATTAAAAAAAAACAAATATTAAGGTGGCTTCTTAGATATATGCATGTATTAAGAATAATATATAATTGAGGGAGATGGTTGTAATTATCCAAATATAAGGAGTTTTTTTCATAATTTAGGTGGTGTTTGTAAAAGTTTTTAAAAATAGATTATGAATGCATATAATCTGTTTTTAGTTGTTTGCAAAATAAACTTTTGCTTTTGCTTCTTTGAAATAAGCTGTTTTAAGCTATAATTTTAAAAGCACACCAATACCTGCTTAATCTATTTTAGTTGATTTTCCACCGAATTTGCAATCCAACTTTTAGAAATTATCACTTAATTCCAACTTAACTCAGAATCACTAACTTTTGTTTTTAAATATTTTTTTGCAAACACCACATAGTTCACGAGGTGGTCATAATTTGAGCTTATTTTTTTTGTTGTTTCATCAATAAGAAAAACGCGTAATCTTTGCATTAAAAATAACGCAAGTTGGGAGTTTGAACTTTGATGGTCTTTTAAACAAAGTTTCATATATTAAAAGTGTTGAAACTAATTTTAACTTAACTACCACCTAATGATGAATAATCCCAATTATTTAAGTTAAAGTGATCAAGTTTAACCAACATGAAATAAAATCAATTATTTAATTTCAAATGATTTCTTTAACCAACCAAAAGAGACCTAGTTTTCATCCACAACCACAAGATAGAATACGTGCATATTTTTATTTAATTTTTTTAATTAATTAATATATGATTTTTGGATTTAATGTAGGTAACATTGACAGTGATTAATTTATTGCTTAGCTGGCGGAAAAGCCAATTGATTGAGATTTTAGAATGTGTTGTAGGCCCACCGAATTACCTCCGCGTTATTAGGCCCACAAACTAACCTTCTTAGCCCATTGTATTTTTACCCAAAAATAAAATAATGTCAAGCATTTTTTATTTTTTGTTAATTTTTTCATAGGTGATTTTTTTTCTCTCTTCATGAGTTGTGGGACTGAACACGATGACAATTGTAGTCCGAATGCAATCGATTCCAAGAGCATGGAAATTAATTTTGATGCGGCAATCCCTAATGGGGAGGGTTTCTATACCTACAACGAAATTTCGATTCATCTTAAATAAAATTATTTAAAACTATTCCTTCAATTATAAAAATTGGCTTAAAAAAAATCAATTATAAAATTCATCTTGGATACAAGTAATGATTCTTCCTTATCTTTTAGTTTTCGTGTTCTTCTAAACTAATGTTAGGTAGCTGTCATAAATCACATGGTACAAGGCCACACATATAACATCATAGTCCAAGCCCACAGAATATTCCAAAAGTATCTTATTATTAATTAATTATTTATCTACACCAAAACAAAAAACATAAACAAAAACAAATGACATTTTTGTACATACCTTAAGAAAAAGGGTTCCTTTTTATATGTTGGTAGTGTGTTTTGCAGAATTAGGAGGTGAAGGGCTGAAACCTGAATACAATATTACTACTATACATGTCGGGGGTAGATTTGGAAAATCAGAACGAATATTCCACAGAATCTTCAAGATTCCGTTACTCATAACTACTCTACCAAAGGGGTGTCTTTAAGTTATTTAGTCTTACCTCAAGGGAGCACCGGTAACTCACCGATGAACTAATATGCCTCATGCATAGCCTTGGGCGAAGAAATTCAAACAGAAAAATAATTCATTTCTTCCACATTTCTAAATTTTCTCAATATATCTAGTAATCTTGATATCGTTTTTTATATATGATCGTTAAATTCCGGGAGGATTTTGACAAAAGTAGTAACTATTCTGTACACTGCACAATCTTAATTTAGCGGGTGTCAAAATGTTAGATATATATATAGCAATATAGGAATTTCTTTATCTCCGAGTTTAGACTAACTCATCGAATTAGAGCAAAAAGGGTAGCAATTTACCGAGCAAAAAGATTCCTTGTGTAGTAGTCCTATACAACCGGAACACTTCCACTCCCCTTGTGAAGAGTACCTATAAAATTTCCCCGAATGGAATTAGAAGTCGTATTATTGTGAAAACTAATTTAAAAGGGTTCGCAGTTAGCAGTTACGGAAGAAAGCACAAAATCACCGAAATAATTGCAGAGATAAAACTCACCAGAATAAGAGTTTGAAATGTAATGAGGTACTAGAGTATTATTATTCACAGGAAGCTGAGAAGCTTTGGTCATTGATCGGGTGGTTCCTCCTGATTTTGCTGCAAGAATTCGATCAGGTGTTTGAGCCAGATGCAAAAAATGGTCATCTCTCTGTGCCAACAAAGAATTAAGTTTACGTCACTAATTTCATTCTTCTAGTTATATATATGCAGCCACGTGAAATCGAATTTAGCTTTTCAAAGCAAATACTTGCTTCCCACGCTTAACTCTTAAAAAGTGAAAAGTGAAGAGAGATATAACGAGAAATTAAAGTTTGTGCGGGAACTGGATTTACTTGTACTGTTTCTGAATTTGAAACCTCGTTGCTCGACTCCTTTCTTGGTTCCTCAAAGAACATGCGACGAATGGCTCTTCGTAGATTGTAATTTCTTTGGGAATAATATATTTTGGTTGCAATCGGAGCTGGGACATCTGATATTATTCAACATTTAGCTACCGTCGGTATATTACCTTAAACCATAAAGAACCGGTTATAATTGCAAACATATCATGAGAACCCATTTCAGAATACAAACAATTTGAACAAGTTCAATATCCTATACAGTAACTCTCGTTTTTAGTAACGGGGGTTTTAAATGATCAAAATTACATAACTACAATTCTGAATAAAATTTTAATTAGCAGAGTCCACACAGGATATATCAATGAGAATGAGATTTATTTATGCTAGATCAGAAACCGGTGGTTCGATCAGTATTTCTTTAAAATGTAAAAAGTGTCTGCTATTGACTACTATGGGATACCTCTTTTTTCACAAAGGATGAGATGCATACACAGGTCTTTCAACGAACTTTCGAACTCATTCCAAAATTACAGACATGTAATTCACATTAAAAACACCAATGAGATGGAGTGAACTTACGTGGGAGAATCTTAGCAGTTGTCTTGCACAAATTCTTAGTAACTGAATTTGACGGACTTTCAGCCGCAATCCTACAATATAAAAATGAACAAATCCAAAACAATTTGATCAAGATGTTTGCCTAAACCATGTATTACTATGGGTACAAAAAAAAAAAGGACTACGTAAATGGCACTGAATTGACTTGGTTTGGTTTCTTAAGAAGCCCATACTGAATTGGCTTTAAACACATCTAACTTTAATGCAGATAAAGTAGTTGGCAATTTTCTATGAAGCATTATTATACCTCAATTGTTTGAGCCGTATTTCTTAAGTTAAGACATCGAATTACGGAAAGTGAACCATGATACATTTTTTAATGAGCTAGGTAAAAATTCTCAGTTCTTCGGGTCCACCTATTATTT